TAAACCACCAGTGGATGCCACAAACTCTTATTTCTTCTGTGTCGAATATTTAATTTGATGAGAGCAGCAACAGTACTCTCGGGCCACCGACGCCAACAACAAAGACCGACTATTTTTAACTGAAAACCAATTCGATTCGAATTCCAACTAACAATCTTGCGTATCATATAACACCAACATCAAAAGAGTTAGTAGCGACATTCCATTACGACATAGCTGTAGAGATCTATCACCAACATCATTTGTCGGTTGCATTACAATAACAAAACAAATTTTAGTATAATTTGGCATAAATAATAACTGTAGCACAGCATGTATCACATTCGTTAAAAAATACAGCACTAAAATAGATGAAAAGTAGTAAAGTTATTGTTTATTGTTTTTTTGGAACTGTTCTTGCCACCATGGACTAGGTAGCTGCATTAATGGAATAGGTTACATTAAATATGTTGTGGGTTGCATTTTTTTCTTAAATAATATGTTCAGAATACTCTGCTCTATAAGAAAATTAACGTTGTCGATTATATAAGAGATGGTAAAGCTATATTTCTTCAGCAGCTCAGGAATAGAGGGAAGGAATCGTAATTTTTGGAATATTTGTAGAAAGTTTGCAAACTCGTGTAATCAAGTTTTGTGGCGCACCTCCAACCACCCTCTACCATCTAACCACAAGTCACACATTAATTCAAACAACTATCCCTACCATCTATCCACTCGATACGAATTTGTGTTGGTAATCACAAAGCAGATGTTAACAATAAACTCCCTCCCCCTCCATTGAAAGCAATGTTTGTTGTTGTGGGTACGTGTGATTATTATTGTAATAAACTTAAATAATATATGCATATTTTTTCATTCATACTTTCATTTCCTCTTCAAAAACAAAAAAGCCACCAACAACAATGACATACATTATGTGTATAAGAGATTTATGGTTGAACAAAATCAGTAAATTCTGCATTTGTTGAATAAGAAAATGTACAATTTCGTATGTCTTTGTTTGTCACCGGATACTACATGGTAGATAAAAATAGAATTTTAATATTGCCATAATAATTGTTAATGGTCACCTGATTTTAATAGGGTATCTGATTATCATTATCTGATTACATAAATAGATTTCTTACTCCAAGGGTCCATAGAATTGCTATACTGCGCAGAGGACGTAGAAGTCTACCAAAGGCTTTATTGTGGTCCTCTGAAATATCCAGTAAGATATATAAAAAAAGAAATATTTCGCAAAAAGCTACGATATCGAAAAAAGTAATAAATATATTTACAGATTCATTTACAACATAATTTTGATGACCTCTATGTGAATTAAAACAATTTAGGGGAAAAAACAGATCGAGTTTCACAACGATTGTAGGATGGGGATATATACATCCGCTGTGAAACTCGATAGCAGTATGACAAAAGATCTGGCAACCAAGGCTTTGTAGGGAATTTGTGATTTGTAAGAATTGATATACTTTGTGGAGAAGATTAATGTAGGACAATATCGATATAGTCCAAATATTACGAAGATTAATTAAATGCTCGCAGTTTCAGGGTTAAAAAAATATAAAGTCTTATAATATTTATACCCTACACCACACTGTGTGCACAAGGAAACGAAATAGACCCATAGTTCCCTTTGATCGATGTTTGTCCGCCCGATTGTCCATGTCTCCGTGTTGAGATGAAATTTGTTACAAACCCTATTAAAATTGGCGAGGATTTGTCCAGATTCTCACCATTTTCACTAGGGCCAAACAAATGATTTATGATGCGACCTGTACTTTGTTTACAAAATAAAAATGGAATTGTAGATATATTTCAATTTTATTGAGAGCCATATGTGATATTAGGTGATGTTTTTCCCCATATAAACGGGTAGCTCTTCTAAATACGCACAGTGGTGTAGCGAATCATATAGCCGGCACCGTCCGACTTTTCACGTTTCTTCACTGCTTTTAATTTGACCCTGAAGGCTATCTTTCACTTTCAACCGCAATTTTGACCGTATAAGGTAGACATTATATATGAATTAGTTCCTTTAAATATACGCTTATACAGGCTTCACCATAGCGTAAAAGATATGTAAAGTTTAAAGAATATATATTTTTATTAGGATACAATTTGTCACGGATTTTACTCAAATGTATTTTAGGTTTCGGTTTCGACATAGCATTCATAGCTTCTCATTTATGATATTCCCACAAATCGGTATTTGAATGCTTTTCGCCCAACTTTACAACGAAATGTTACGCAAATTATTATTTGGGAAATTTTTTTTATACTTATATATTAAACTTTTTAATTTTTATTTATTATGAAATTAATATTAATTTTGGTTCTAAGTGGACAGCTTTTTTTGGATTTATTCCCCTCAGAAACAATATGTATATAATGTTCAAAACCGAATTTAGAGAATACTTATTTAAAAAGATTTTTCCTGCTCAACTTAATGTGGTAGCAATTTGGTTCCTGAACTAATTTGCAATAATAATTATGATATTTGTTGGTAATTTACAAGAAAACAATCAATCTTAATCGGGTAATATAATGACATTATATTTTGCAATTTAAAAAAATGCATTGAAGTGATTGATGTGTCCAAAATATTAAAAAAACAGATTTCTACGTTTAGACTGAAGGGAAATGGACACCACGTCAAGAATATAGGCATGAATATTTTATAACCTGTCATATACGTAACATTCATACCAGCCATCACTGATCTGTTTTTGGGTAATTTATCAATACACAAGTAAACATTAATTATGTTTGTACCTTTTGTTTCATATTCCATTCCTACAAAAAGAGCATATTTATTTTGGTATAAGAGAGTAAAATATTTATCGCACTTTCGAAAATATTGAGAGAAACACCTTCTCTCCGCCTTGTTCACTCACGAATTGTATATTGGGGTTTCTTTTGTTTCAATTAACCTTGTTCTTACCAAATTGGGTCGTATAACAATGTTGGCTAGAGGCACAATAGAAGATAACAATTGGATAAATGTGTTGACAAGCTATGCCAAAACTTTCCGGAGAGATACTGAATGTCAGAGTGGTGGTGGGCAACGAAACAACTGGTATCAAATTTAACCAATTCTTCTAAGAGTCCAAGAGTCGACCAAATCAACCTCCCTCCATCCACTGGCGACCAAACATCAGCCAGCCAACACAATTTCTTATTGTACTCTAAGAAAGAGAAATACATAATGATCGTTGGTTGGTCGATGTTGTCTGTGTGTGGTGTTTTAAACTTTTGCTAACAAAGCCAACTTCTCCAAGTTCAAAACTTAAAAACACAAAAGCGAAAGAATACCAAAATAAACCGCAACGGCAAACATAAAACTCTCTAAGCTAACTATAGCATGAGAAGGACAGACTGACAAACCGACACTACGGTAAACTAACATACCGACTGAACGAGCAGCCACCTAGCCAGCCAACCATAGTTTTGGGTAAAAGCATTTTATTGCTTCTCCTTCACTTCTTCTTCAACGTCTTAGCCTTCTCATTGCTCTGGAGTTATATTTTCTGAACTTTGCTTCAATTGTGGATCTATCTATACAGAGCGGTGTGTGTCTTTTGGCTTTTTAGTTGCTCGTCTCGAACAATGCGATTCAGTTAGACAATGCTATTTTATACAGAAGGTTTCCGTAAAGGTTTACGTTTGGACAACGGTGGTGGAGCTGATGCTAACGGCATTGATGATGGTGGTGGCGGTCACGAAGTTCAAATGGTACTCGAAATGATAAAAAAAAAACAAAGTTAACGGTTATAAAAAATATATATTTGCATTGTTTTTGTGTGTGAAGTTTATTTTTCGATTGGATTTGAATAAAAAAAATAATATTGTGAGGTGATCTTTTAAATATTGAAAATTTAAATATAATCACAAATCGCGTACCGTGTAAGATGTATGATCAAATGAAATAACAATTATTTGTTTCCAAAAGATTTCATGTGAAATTTATGAGAATCCGTCTTTCACGTAAACATATGGAAAATAGGAATGTATACGGTATTAAAATAAAACTTAAAGAAAAGTCAACTAAAAATATACCTTTGCTTTTTCAAAATAAGGAAACTTATTTGTCAATACTACAATTATTTGTTCTGTTCCATAGCCTGCAGCGATCGACTATTTTTGCAATTTCTTTTCGATATCGTAAAGGAAAACGGTTACTTTAACATTCTTTCAGTTCTGGAACAGACCAATTATTGAATCAATTTGCGTAAAAACCTTGCAATACATGACATGAAAAAAATACGCGTTTTCTTTTAATTACACAAATTTGGTGAAAATGACTTCTCAGTTAGATTGTTGTCAATATGTGTTGGAAAATAATTAGTGAATTCTCGCATCCTTTTTTGTTAAAAATCGGCATTGAAAGGGCAGAGCGATTAATAATTGACTACACTTTAATTCTTAAATACATACAAGCTGCCCTTCATGGAATTTCATATAAGGAAGTCAAATGGACTTTATGACTTAATATTGTTCAAGTTTTTCTTCCCACTCCACAACTTGTGGATTTTCTAAATTCATAAATTCTGAGTAGAGTTTCATTCATAACTAGTGCAGAACGACAAAAAGTTGTTAGTTCATATTTTTTGTTTGTTGTTGTTTTATTTTTTAGTTTATTTCTGTAGTTTCTTTCTGAAGAATGGTTTTACAATTTTCATGAAGCAAAGCGAAAAGAAACTTCGCTACGCCAAAGAAAACCTGAAATAAGCCTTACTTGTATAATCCGTCTAGTTACATAGATAGTGTATGTATGTTGTATGTATTTAGCTATGTAACTTCACGGAGTTGAATACACACACACAGATACCTTTGGTTGTAGGTATTTCTTTTCTCCGTCATTGTGGTTGTGGAGATTTGTTTCGCAGTTGATGTATGTTAGTGCCATTTAAAATGTAATTTGCTTAACCATCCATCGAAGCAAGCAAACGGTAACTAATTTCGCTTTTTACTCCCTTCTTTTCTTTTTTTCTTTGTAGACCGCTCAACATGGATTTCCACACAAGCCATCAGCAATGTCCTATGACCCCATATCGAAATTAATGGCCATTGGTACACAAACTGGAGCTATCAAAGTATTTGGACAACCTGGCGTGGAGTTTTATGGCCAACATGCACTGGTCAATAATTTGGGCTCAGAATTGAATGTTCAGCTGATCGAGTGGGTATATGGAACAGGACGCCTCTTGTCGTTGACTGCTGCAAACCAATTGATTCTGTGGGAACCAGCCGGTGCTACACTGGTAGCTGTTAAAACCCTACCATTCGATGGTAAATTGAAGAAGGTATCCTCTTTATGCTGTTCCTTGGATAAAGATGTCGTATGGATTGGTACCGAGGGCGGCAATGTGTATCAGTTCGATTTACACACATTTTCGGTACGCGAGCCCGTTATTTATCACGACGTTGTGTTGGAACAAGTGCCTCCCACATACAAATTAAATCCTGGTGCAATTGAATCCATTCGCCAGCTGCCAAATGACCACAGTAAACTATTGATTGCCTATAACCGAGGTCTCTGTGTTTTATGGGACTTGGAGACGTCATCAGTGTTAAAGGCGTACATTGCCCCTGGCCATGGTCAGAGTGTTGGACTTTTCGTGAATTCAACAGGTTCCCAATTTACCTGGTATCATGCTGATGGCTCATTTGCTACTTGGAATATAGGCAGCGGCGATCCACCTAAAAATGTGAATTATGTGCCTTATGGACCTGATCCATGTAAAAGTATTAACCGTTTGTACAAAGGCAAAAGGGGGTGAGTAATAACTTTAAACTTTTAAGGGTCCACTTAAGACAATGTGTTCTGTTCTGTCTCCGCTTTCAAAAGATCCAGCGAAGTTTCCATCTTCTCGGGTGGTATGCCACGTTCGGCATATGGTGATCACCATTGTGTCTCTGTTCATGATTCGGATGGCAATAAAATATGTTTGGATTTCACTTCCAAAGTTATTGACTTTTTTGTAACTTATGCCGAAGATTCGCCTGACACCGCCGAAGTACTGATTGTTTTACTCGAAGAAGAGTTGTGCGCCTATGATCTGACCGATCCAAAGATTCCACCCATAAAAGCTCCTTATTTGCATTCAGTCCATACTTCAGCTGTTACCTGCAATTACTTGGCCTCACAAGTAAGTCATGAGGTATATGCAAAAATTGTCAAAGCCGGAGAAGAGCAGGATCAACATTATAGTGGCATTGAATGGCCTATAAAGGGAGGCGAATTGGCAGAGACCGAGGATGATGAAGTTGAAGATAGTGAAAAACAATACGAAATTTTGCTAACGGGCCATGAAGACGGTTCTGTGAAATTCTGGGATTGCACAGGGGTTGTATTGAAACCTATATACAACTTTAAGACGGCGCTATTATTTGGGTATGAACAATGAAATTCTCTCGAAACAATATAAAACTAAAACTAAGAGAAATATTTTCAATTGTAGCCACGAAAATCAAGATGATATGCCTGCTGCCGATAATTCTGAACCAGTTGATGAAGGTGATCCTCCATTCCGTAAGGCTGGTCTTTTCGATCCATACTCCGATGATCCACGTTTAGCTGTAAAGAAAATTGCCCTGTGTCCAAAAACGGGTCGCTTGATTGTCGGCGGTACAGCTGGTCAAATTGTTATAGCCCATTTTGAGGCGGATGAATCCAAGAAAGCCCCCTTGAAAGTTAGCTCCATGAATTTGGTCAGTGATCGTGATGGTTTTGTTTGGAAGGGTCATGATCAATTAAGTGTTCGCGAAAATTTACTCGAACCTAATGCTGAACCAGTAGGAGATGACGGTGTTCATATTACGGGTGTTTTGCAAGTGTCACCACCGGCGAGCATAACCTGCTTAGCCTTGGAAGCTAATTGGGGTTTGGTAGCAGGCGGAACTGCCCATGGTTTGGTATTGTTTGATTTCAACAATTTTCTTCCCGTATTCAACCGATGCACGTTGAATCCTAATGGTAAGGATTTTCTTTGGAAAATACGAATATCCACCGATTTTAAATGTGATTGTATTTACATAGATCTCACTGGTGCTGGTGAGCAATTGCCACGTCGCAAATCTTTTAAGAAATCGTTGCGTGAATCATTCCGGAAATTGCGTAAAGGCAGATCTACACGCAACAATCCTTCAAATCAAGTACCAACAACTGTAAGTAGATTTGAATGTTTAATTTTTGAGATCTGTTGAACACTGGAATTTTATATCATCTCCATAGCTGGAAGCTCGTCCCGTAGAACGTCAAGTAGAAGCACGTTCCACAAGTGATGACGGCATGGGTTCTATGGTGCGTTGCCTGCTCTTCGCCAAGACTTATATTACAAATGGTATGTAACAGATTTGTTTGTGAATGTTCCGACTATACTAAATAAAGCGACCTCTATATATATCTTCCAGTAAACATAACTTCACCTACTTTGTGGTCGGCTACAAATGCCAGTACAATTTCGGTATTCTTGTTACATTTACCACCGGCACAGACTGCTGCCACATCGGTTCCACCAACAGGTGTTGACGCCAATGCTTCGGCACCGCCACCCCAAACACGTCGTGTATCAGCCCAAATTGCAAAAGAAATACAGCTTAAACATCGCGCCCCTGTTGTAGGAATAACCGTTTTCGATGCATCAGGTTGCCCTGTTGATCAGTTGGGTGGCGGCAATGGAACTGCTCCCCATCGTGTTCTCATTGCATCCGAAGAACAATTCAAAATATTTTCACTGCCACAATTAAAACCCATCAACAAGTATAAGTTAACTGCCAACGAAGGGGCTCGAGTTCGACGCATACAATTGGCCTCGTTTTCATGCCGTGTACCTGCCGAACTTTTGCAAGGTGCTCAGTCTGGTAGTTCTCCAACAAAGTCGACACGTTCCCATGACCAAAACGAGGGTGGAGCCAACACTAGTATGACTTCGGCAAGCAATTTGGAAAATTATCATGAAATGGCTTTGGTTTGTTTGACGAATTTGGGTGATTTAATGGTGTTGTCGGTGCCTGAATTGAAACGGCAACTGAATGCTGCCGCTGTAAGAAGGGAAGATATTAAGTAAGAGGCTGGAAAATATTTTTTTAATTTTAGAGAATAATGTCTGAACTTTCTTTTTTAGTGGAATTTCTTCACTCTGCTTCACTAACTACGGCGAAGCTTTGTATATGATGTCCTCTTCAGAGTTGCAACGCATTGCCTTGGCTACATCTAAGGCAGTTACACCACAAGGTACCATTTCTGTTGACCAACTGCAAATTAATGAGTCTGTGCAAAATGATGATAAGGAATCTGTAAAGGAAGATTACGAAGCTAACGCAGCTTCCTCACCGACTCATGCACCAGCTGCCGCCAAACGTACCGCCGCCGCTACAAGTATTACAACAACCTCGACTTCCAGCAAAACAGTTGACGTTGAACATTCCGGCGGATTATCGAATGGCATTGGTGAAGGCAATTCGCCCAATAAGGCCAATGAAACTATTAGCAGTTCGATTGGCGATATTACCGTGGATTCTGTAAGAGATCATTTGAATGCCACTACCACCACATTGTGTTCCACTACAACGGAGGAGACAGTTGGTAAGTTATTAAGCCCTCTTTGGACTAAATACATGTGTAATCTGCTTTGTCTGTTTTGTTGTAATATTTTGTATTGTACCATTTTGTCATTTATTGTTGTGAGTGGGTGGAAGCGGAATGCTAACTCTAACAAAGTAGTTCATATGTTAACACATTCATGCGATTATTACTAACAATATAATATTACCATTGAAACCAGTTTTCCATAAAAGTCAATAACGAGACACAATCATCACTTCATTTTGGTATTTTTTCAAAACTAAAACATAAATACGCACAGTCATAATGTGATGTGAACGTAAATGCGCAAATACAGTGACACGGTGTCGTCGTGCGTATCGCATTTGATTTCGAATAATGGTGCTCACATATTTATGAATATCCCAATTGTTTAATATTTTCTCTATACATTTTTCTAAAAAGCTACTGTAAAAATGTTTTTTCTAAATTGTTTTGTGGAAAAAATATCATGAACCAAACATAATCATTCCATACCAGATCATTAAATTTCACTGATGTTTAGCATACCTCAGGCTAGCGTCATTAGCATTACAATTTGGTTTTGTGTCTGTGTTCATTTTTATTTTCCCTTATATTTCTTTTTGACTGATATGCTAACACTTTGCTTTACAGGCGCAACAAGATGAATGATTTGATTAAGTTTGGTTGTATTTTGAAATACATATTTACATACATACCCCTCTGCATGCACATTAATGTATTGAATTTTTAAGTTCTTTTACTATTCATTAATAATATAATTAAGGTAAATGGTTGCTATAGCTTATGGGCTTGTAGATAAAACTTGGAGAAAATAATTTTCTAAAATAATCACATTTCACTGTTTTTTGCTAGGCCGTCTATCTGTTATGAGCACCCAAACCAATCAGACACTTACAAGTGTCAACATGAAGGACATACCCGATATAAATATACCTAATTTAATGGATTTGGCACCCTTAAGGTAAGTTGTGTGTACCACAAATGTTTGCATACAGTTGAATTCATTGATTTTTTTTCACGTTCCAGCAATACCACCGAAACCAGCACCAGTTCTGTCGTAATTAAATCTGTCATAACAAGCATTTCTCATGAGAAGACAAATGGGGAATCCGAAACGATAACTACGAAAACAACAACACACGAAGAAAGCCAATTCTAAATTATTATTTAAACACTGCTGCTTCATCACGACTAAAATCAACACCACCACAACATTGCAAAATAAAAAAAAAACAAATATCTATAAGAAAAAAAAGTAATGAGTACACCATGCATGTATTTACACCCTGTATTTTTATGTTATCATCGTTTTTCTTAGTTGTAAACGTTTTTTCTTTCTTCCTATTTACTGTCTCCCGTACCATGTAGTTATTTTAAGTATTGCATTTTCTTTGACTCTCAAATTGTAATCATTCAAACTTTCATATCAATCCTGTTATTTGGGATACCCGCCCTCTTCCCCCAAAGGATAACAAATTCGCAAGTTAATATAATCGATTTGAAGAAATTAGTATTAATACTATCAAACAAAATACCGTTATAAAATTGTTGACCACAGAATATCATTTGACCTTATATACAAACATATAAAAATACCATCGTTTTAGTATTTAATTTTATACTTAACTATGAATAAAAACAAAACACTTTTTATACAAAAGAAATTCAATTTTGAAGGAAAACGAAGTGCTGCAAAGTCATTCCCATTATTGAGCTGAAATTAGCGGTATTGATTCAAATCAATAAACTCAAGACTTTCCAGGTTTAAAAAACCATTCGCCTTTATTGAAAATTGTTTTATTGTCTCGACTTGCAAATAACACGGTGCTACAATCATTGCAACTGGAGTTTTTCGATTTGGCAATACAGTGACAAAGAAATTGGTGCCAAGTAACAATTCCATCATTCAAATTGCAACTAGCATAACAGTGTTGCAGTGAAACATACAAATATTTTCTTGCACATTGTCATGTATTGTACAAATTAAAAAGAAAAATCCAAATAATAATACCCTTAAAATTTGTTAAATCTGTAACTCGTGCACTGTGGTTTTATAGCCATAAGTAGGTATGTGTGTTGTTGACAAGTTAAATAAAACAAAAAAGAATCAAAAGCATTTATTATCATATACAATCATATACAAACTATAACAACGTAAAGTACAACCTCATAATGAATTGCCTTAAACGTGAGAACAAATACTGCTTTCTTTCCAATCATTTTATTTGCATTCTTGAAAAGTTTCTGTTTTTTACAATGAAGTCTTTTTGATTTAATCCGTTTCATACGTTTTAGGAATTTTTGTCCTTTTTATACTCTAATTTATCGTTTCACTTCACATGTTTCCAATCTTAATTATACAAAAATATATTTTTACTACATATATAGAATTGAAAAAGGCGTCGCATCAAAATTGTTTAATTATATGTGGAATACTATTTTTGGACTTTTTTATGTATTTAAAACAATATTTTTTGATATTTGTAATAAAAATAATATTTTAATAAAATCTGATTGATATAAATGTTGTTTCCTATAGTAAACCAGGGGAGTGGTAAATATTATAACATGAATGCTGGGTTAAGAACATATTTCGGGAAATTATGTGTGCTAGATTCATGATTTCATCTACTAGTGTCATCCTGCAACAATTGGAATTACGCTCACAACTCCACTTCTTTAATTCCATTCTGAGTCTTTCCTGTAGGTCAATTGAATTTTTATACAGTTCAGAGAAGCTGAAATAGAAATCACCACTACCAAAGCATTGGGCCCAGCTATATCATTCTCATATTCGACATCAAAAAACTTTGATCGAAATTGATCAAAGTTTTTGATTTAATGCAGCGAAAATGTACATATTCAAATTAATTTTAATAGCCATTTTTTTCTTCTTCAAGGGGACAGCTTATTCAGCTATACCTAATTATTGCCACTACTACTACTGCTAGACTCGATTTCGATTCCATCAGCGTGGAATTTTCTTCACGAACTATTATCGGATTTGCAAATACTTCAGGCACTTCCATAGTCAGAGCCAAATTCTGAACTCCGTTATCGTAAAAAAACGCCTTCCAAAATAATTTGAATGTGTTAATATTCAATTAAATTAAAAATACCAACATTGGACATTTCTGCAGTTGCTTTTCATACCCTACACCACACTGTTGTTAGGGGATTAAGTCTTTGTGCACTTGTTTTTACCATAGAGAAGAAAGCGAGATAGACCTATAGTTCCTTTTGATGATCTGTATAAAATCACATTCTAAGTCGATCTATGTGCCTAAAAATGTAATTAAACTCAAATAGGATGGATTTAATGGATATAGATTCCGATTCTTTGATTTCTAGGGGGATATACCACCCATATATTAGTTCCTTTTGACTTTTAATTCTAAAACGATTTAATTCTTATCAATTCCCCATAAAAACGTTTTCGATCGAAAGCGAGAATTTGACCCTTGAAAACTATCCAGCAATATACTTATCAACAGTTTAAACAAGGGAATATCGCAAACATTAGTTCTTCGTTCTTCTTTACATTTAAGCCGACATTATTCCGTATTTTAGTCTAATCTATTTATCTACGGCACTAGTGATTCACTCTAAAGTGTTCCCCATAAATAAAAAAGTGTTCACTACAAAATCCTTCTGAGGGAGAATTGAGATTCGCCGTTAGAATTGACATTGTGACAGCTGTTAGTCTGTCCAAGTCTTAAATGATGTCCCGCATGAAACATTGGCAATCACCGTAAAATAATGCTTCACCCGATGTGTCCAAATTCCACGTGGTGATATCCTCCAAGAGAAGACCAGCAGTATCATCTCAAACATGAAGATGTTAAAGCTATTCCAGTGACAGCTCATTATATTGTTTACAAGCGTACAAAGCATTTTAGTCAATATTTTCCAGAAAAAAATTATTCGTGAAGGAATTCAAACGTGATAGTGTGATTTCTTTATATTTGGCTGGAAAACCACAAGTGACTATCGTTAGAGCACTCCAGCATTTAAATGTGAATAAATATTTTGTGTCTCATACCATCGCTGGTTACCGTGATACTAGGAAGTGGGCGGAAGAAAACAACAACATCTGCAGAAATGGTTTGAAAAGTAAACAAGCGACTTGATCGGGCGAAGGTGGTGAACTGCCGAATTTGGTTTTCTCCGATGAGAAAACATTCGTGTTTACTTGCCAAAGAGGTCAGCTGGAAATGTGCCTTCGGTTGGCCACCAGAACTCAAGCGCCGGAGATGGTTTGGGCCGCCAAAACAGCCGATGGTCCTCTGCGCTCGTATTAATCGACCGTGAATAAATGCTCAATATTATCGCGAAAATATTCCTGAGGGTGTATTAAAGCCTTGAGCACGCAAACATTTTGGCCGCAGAACTTGGACATTCCAACAGGACTCAGCCACCCAAGAATGGTTACAAAATGAGGTTCCTTGCTTCATTTCCAGCGCTCAATGGCCACCAAAATCTCCGGATACCAATACGTTGGACTATTGTGTCTGGAGTATTTTGGAAAGCAAGGATCACCTCAAGCAAGCTCTTCGCCGGGAATGGGCCAAAGTACCGTAGAGCAGCGTGTTGCGGTATCATTGGCCGTTTGATAGGCATAATTCGTGCCAAAGGTGACTATTTCGAACAAATCTAAACTTATTCTAAAATTTGATTCTATTTCCGCCATTTTTTGCTTTCATTCAATGAAATTTAAAACAAATGTAAAAATTATGGCGTTTGACTTTGTTGCAGTTTTTTTGTCTCACCCTGTATAGCCCAACATAATAATAAGTATCTGTACGTAAATGTTGAAGGCTAGATCAGAGCTGTGCAATAATATTACGTCTTGGGTACACGAAGTCTTCATTCGTGTGATAAGTTACCTGATTTTTTGCATCTGAACTATGTCTTGTGACCGAGATACCAGGATATGCTGTTTTTTTATACGTATTTTTTTACAAATTTATAGGGGTGGTACGATTTTGGAACTCTTTCTAGTTTTATGTAAATATTGCCATGTGCAAAGTTTGGACAGAATCGGATAATCTCTGCAACAGTTATCATGCCCACCAGGCAGCATATTGTATTTATTTCAATTGAAAAGAAAATAAGTCTATTTCCAAGAATTTCCGAGTTGGGTGCAATTAGGTGATTTTGAAATCATTTTTATTTTGGAATACTCAAGCCAATTTTTCGGGTTTTTAGAGAACAAAGGGACAAGTTCTCTAAAAACCCGAAAAAATTGGCTTGAGTATTCCAAAATAAAAATGATTTCAAAATCACCTAATTGCAAACTCTGAGTATAGAAGAACTGTCAAAATTTCTCTCTTGTAAAGAGAGCAAAAGAGAGCGTCTTTTGCATAATATTTGTGTTAACAGACGACTTTCAGTAACAATTTGTAACAATTGTTTCTCATTTTTGGATAATCAGACAGATCTTGTAATACGATTTTTTGAAAACCAAAATCCGTTACAAATCTCAAAGTTTCAAATGTTCGCCGGAATAACCGACAATCTGGCAACATTTTGTATCTGATGAATATCGAGAGTCCCATACAGTCACAAACATCTTCAACACTCAGCACGTTAATTCAGTTAACTCTCAGACGCTCATGGTGTACGTTGGTTCGCGCATAACCATTTCTTTTTCGACCACTAGTGTTGGTGTTTTGTCTTACCAAAAACCAAAACAGAAAAAAGAATAACAAAAAAACGGAGTAAAATTTTAAAAGAAATATGCGTATAAAAGGTGATTGGGAAAAACATATTGAGAAGGAGTGGAAGAAATAGTGTGGTGAACAAGATCGCAACAAACAGCAAAACAAAACAACCACGACGGTCAATGCAAAAAATTCAAACTGAAAACATAACGAGCAAAAATTGAAGTAGTTAAAGTAAAGAAAAAAATCCAATAGGTACACACCATACCATCATTCCAGCCATAATACCATAAACAGAGAAAGAAGTATCTATAAGACACCGATACCGAACAACAAACAAACATCAAACCGAGAATCGTTTGCCAAAAAAAAACCGAGAAGAACAAATTAATATTTAATGAAAACAACAAAAAAAGTTTTAAAAAACCATCTGACGGGATTGTTGAAAGTCGTTCAAGCATTAATTACGACGTCTTTGCCTTGTGTAGTCATCGCAGGGTGCAGATTCAATCCAAACAGTTGCCTTTACAACAAAAACAAATACCATTGATGATCTTGAAGATTGTTGTTTGCCGTTTTTGTTGATCGGGCGTAGCATAAAAAGTGTGTGTGTGTGTGTATGTGTTCGCTTATGTCGGAGGAGGACTGTTTTTTGTTTATAATTACAACAAATTCCAAATGAATTAAAAGTGCGTTCGAAATACATTTGAGTTGAGTCAATACTGCCTTGTCAATTAATAGCTGTGTGTCAGTGCGCGAATTCAATCGATTCAATACAATTCAGACAAACGAATGTTCAAGGAAGTGATAAAGAAGAGTGCGGGCGTTAAAATTGTTTATTGTCCTTAGTTCCCAAGATACGTGATGTATGTTTGTATGCCAAATAGTTCGTGGCGAAAATGCGAATAAGTTGATCTTGTTTTTATGCGTCATAATTTGATCGCATTTAATGTTGTATAAAAAATGAATTAATTGAGCATTTTCTCGACAAAGAAACCTTGAAAAAGCTTTATTACGCCTCCGTTCATCTCTTCAGCCACTGCGGACAGAAAATCCACTTGGAGTCAGGACTAAAACAAAATTCACGAAAACCACCACTACAACCAACCACATATCGTATCGAACCAAGCTAGTTTAGCACGATTTGTACGAGGAGAGCAAGGAGCACTGCAGAAGCCACAGACATTCCAAGTTACTTGTTACACAAGAAGAAGTCAAAAGAAGGAATTCTTGGTGAATGTTTTGTTGTTGTTGTAGTTAGCCGTTTTCCATTAAATTCCACTGAGACTACCAAACATCTCGTCTGCCAGCCATCCAACCAACCATTCAGCTATTAAGCCTGTGTGCACTCCAAAAATAACATTGCGCATTTCATGCAACACTTTGTTGCAGTTAAGGGACACAGGGTTCTACATTGAAACCTGATTCGGGTAAGTTCGATTAGAAGTATTGCAATTGGCATTGTCTTGTTTTTGTATAAACAACAAATTGGCGCCCTTTTTAGACGAACCTGTGAATTTGCATTCTGGTTTTAAAGGATGCCTATTTGCTATAATTTTTAGGACCCATGCTTTATTTGTTTGACTTATGCATCTTCTTATAATTTCTGAATACATCATTAAATAATAATGACATTAAAAATGTATTTCAAAGTGTTTTTGAAATAAATCTACGTTCGTTTAGATCTAGAGTTTTATTTGGATTAATTTTAAGAAACATACAGTTATTGAAAACGACGGGAACAATGTAAACAACGATTTAAATAATGTAAATAATATAAAAAAAAACTTGGATTATGACAAATGGAGTATACTGTCAATCCCTATAATTTGGAGGTTCTGAGTGGGCCTATACCTGCGGCCATACTTAAACGTGGAAAATTATATTCCATTTTATACCTAGTATGGAGGGTATATTAAGTTTGTCATTCCGTTTGTAACACCTCGTCGAAGTATATATTTTAGACCCCCCACAAAGTATATATATTTTTGATCAGAATAAAATTCTATGTCGATTTAGCGATGTCCGTCCGTCTGTCCTTCTATCTGTCTGTGTAGATCACTCTAGCTTTCGAACGAAATGAAATAGCTTGATAAAATTTTACTCAAATGTGTATTGTGTCTGCAGGACTTTTGGTATTGAAAATGGGTCATGTTGGTCCACGTTTTGGTATAGCCCTCATATAATTGTACCTCCCTTTTGGGTATTTTCGTGATTTAAGCGACATTATTTAACGGAAATGTTTCAAATTCGGTATTTGAAATTCGTAATGGATACTACAGCCTTTGACAGAAAATTGTCTGTGCAAATCCACGTCTCCATATAGCCCCCATATAACGGTACCTCCCGATATTCGGTACTTTGATGATTTTAGAGACATTTTTCACCGGTACTGTTTCAAATTTGATATTTGAAGTTCGTAATGGATACTACAACTTATGACAGAAAATTATTTGGGCAGGTCCACGCCTTCGTATAGCTCCCATATAACGGTACATCCCGATATCCGGTATTTTGATGATTTTAGCAACATTATTCGCCGGAATTGTTTCAAATTTTTTATTTTGAAGTTCGTAATAGATATTACAGCCTATGACAGAAAATTGTCTGGGCAGATCCGAGTCTTCGTATAGCTCCCATATAATGGTACCTCCTTTTTCGGTATTTTGATGATTTTAGCGACATTATTACTGGAATTGCTTCAAATTTGGTATTTAAAGTTCATAATGCATACTACAGCCTACGACATAAAATTGTCTGTGCATGTCCACGTCTTCATATACCCCCCATATAATGGTACCTCCCGTTATTATTCGGTATTTTGATGATTATAGCGACATTATGTGTCCAACGCCTGCATTCGGTATTTTTAAAATTTTAACAGAATATTTAACGTATTTTATTATTTTGAAAATTGAAAAATTCGTTTCAAATAGTGGAGGGTATTCAAAGATCGGGCCGGCCGAACTTACAGCTTTTTTACTTGTTAAGACTAAACATTGTGACATTTCTGTAGTTCTGGAACAGAATAACAGGCGTACATCGCAATGAACGAGAACACGTCGAAGTGTTGCAAACCGAATGAATTATATCCTCATTCATAATTGTTCAATTCTAAAGGATTATTATAGCTGCACTACTGCAATTCAAAAGTAATTCTTCTATGGTTTCTTTTGGAACAATTGCGGCTGGTGTAAAGTTTTACGTTTGTATGTACTCTGAATCTTTCTGCTTTCCTTTCTATGCAGAGCTTAATACATACCATATATTTTTCAATGTCCATGTTTTAGATGCAGTTCTACTTAATCATTTATTAAAAAGTAGTATTTATTAAAATGTGGTGTGCTAATAAAATAATATATAAAACTATAACCTGTTTTATAAGATCCTAGTGCATATGATTTCCGACAATCCTTACCCGAAATAATTTATGAGAAGTTGAAGTTTATGTTCCCTAAATATCTAGTTGACATTTATTGTGGTTTCGTTCGGTTCAAGCCAAAAAAAAATCTTAACATCAGTACCTCTGAGAGATTACCAAACGAATGACATCAGATAGTCCTTTAACTCTCCACAAATTACATTCGTGTGTTAGATATACATACATAGGTTGTTTTTTTTGTTATTGTTTTTCACTTGACAATGACCTTTCTTACACATACAATCCTTTGTCGCTTGTAAGTCAGCCAGCCACCAGTAACCAGCCAGAAAACCCGTCCGGTCTGTCATTGATAGCATCCAATTACAGCTTACAACATTAAATTATGTTTATGTGACTGACTGATAATGAAGCGAAAGATCAAACAAGAATTGAATTGTGATGCCGCACAACACAACAACAACAAATTTGGTAACTAAAATCACAAAACACCGAAAAAGGCCAAAAAAAAAAGAGTCAAAATGTTCCCAATGCCGCTATGCCCATCATCCCAAGTGAACAAACAAACATGCGACTGAAAACAACAACAAAAACATAAGCAAGGGATCCATAATCGTCACCCATCGTCAATGTTGGTTGGTGCCGTCATCGTTCCATATCTTGACTTTCATCATTAATGTCTTAACATATTTAATAACATTGGCGGAAAAATAAAAACCAAAAAATTTAATGAAAATTGATTTCATAAATGTTGGGATATTACATACGTCTGTACAGACATTGCATGCGGTTGTGTAAAGTAACTATTAAGTATCGAATTTTCAACTCATAATTAAAATAAATAGTTAAAAGGTAATAAGAAAATTTAAAAGAAATAAAAGTGCGATCTGTTGGACGAATAAAGTCCACTCTGAAGCCAGAAAAAGTCCACTTTGAAGCATTCTGCAATAGCCAGTTGATTAAAAAGCCAATTTTTGTTCATAACATTTGGGCCTTTATTTGACTGGTTTATAGCTTTAAAGGTAAAATTGGTGCAGAACCTTTTATATCCTCTACAATGAGAAGTCTTCAAATTTTGTGAAATTAGTTGTCTTAAAGTTCCTTAAAAATACTGGTTTATAGGTACTTTACTCACTAAGATTTCAAAATTCTTCCATGATATGGATTATCATTAATAATTACTGCCACAGTGCTACAAATTTAATTGGAAATGGCTGAAAACTTCAAAATACTCCAAATAGTGAACCTATTTTGAAAACATTCGCAGGAAGAGTTCGGACTGAAACCTACAAAAGTAACATAACTGTAAATTTACAAACTCCAAACACCAAGTTTGACATCATTCGGTTGAAAAATGTAGCTAAAATCATAAAAATACCAAATATTAGGATGTACCGTTACTTATGTAAAGCGGTTATGCGATGACATGGATCTCTATAAGCGATTTTCTGTTATTGGAGGTGGTGCCCTTTATGAACTCCAAATACCGAATCATCATCAAAACACCCAATATAGGGGGTACAGTTATATGGAGGCTATACCCAAACTTGGATCTAAAGGGTTAGATGAAAAAACTGCAACCAACTTCAGACTGCTGTCATTTCAAAGCCACTCGTCCGACAGCAAAAGCATTTTGGTGAGAGTTTTCCAGAAAAAAAGTTTTTGGTGATGGAATTCAAGCATGATAGTGTAATTTCTTAATATTTTGCTGGAAAACCACAAGTGGCTATCGTTGGAGCACTCCAGCATTTAAATGTGAATAAATCTTTTGTGTCTCGTACCATCGCTCGTTATCGTGATACTGGTAGCGTAGCCCGACGTCGAGGAAGTGGACGGATGAAAACAGCAAAATCAGCAGATATGGTTCGAAAAGTAAAGAAGCGACTTGATCGAAACGAATGGCTCGTGAGCTGAACATATCGCAATATTCCATTCGGTAAATATTGAAAAATGAGCTTTTGGAGTAAAGCCATAAAAATTCCAAAAAGTGCAAGAATTTACACCGCAACAAAAAGAAAATAGACTCAAAATAGCTAAAGAGTTGCTTTGTTTGGCCGAAAGTGGTGAACTGCCGAATTTGGATTTCGTTATGGCGTTTGAATTTGTTGCAGTTTTTTATCTCAAAATAGCTAAAGAGTTGCTTTGTTTGGCCGAAAGTGGTGAACTGCCGAATTTGGATTTCGTTATGGCGTTTGAATTTGTTGCAGTTTTTTATCTCACCCTATAGTTAATGAAAGACCCATAAAAATGGATAGTAGCCCTATGATTTCAGTTTTCTCCATTAAAAAATTTCCGAAAATTTTTACCATTTAGATATGCAGTATAAATAAACCATAGGAAGTTAATGAATATTCGCAAATTTAGTCTTTACATTTTCTCATCGTTTTCCGAGGTTATTACCTTTCATCTTCGTTTTATTCATTTTTGGATAACTCATTCCATGCAAGAGTGTAGCAAGTGTATGGTTTCCGTTCCGTTTCGAAAACAAAACGAATGAATTGCATTCCGAAAACTGCCATCGTCTTTATCGTCAGGGCCAGCGGGTTTATCGCTGCGAAGAAAGTCAAAACAAAACAAAAATGGAATGGGAAATGACATTCATCTGTGTATCTGCATTCACAAATTGGACGAGTCGAGTCGGTGTTTGTTTTTGTTGTTGATGTTTGGTGGTTATGCCGTATCATTTCATTTCTTTTTTATTTATCATCTCTGTTTTAAACTGCAACCTGTTGGATAAAGATGGACGGACGGACGGACTGACTGGCGGTCTGATAGACAGACATACAAAAGAGCGAATGTTTTGCATCTGTTCAGAGCAGCAGCCGCTGCCGAAGAATGCTACTTCTTGATGCAGAAGCTGAAAGCCACAGCCATAGCTCTCCACACCAACATGTGTCATGACTGGCTGCACTAAATCACAGCCCTTTCTCTTTGTCTGTACTCGTTCGAACTGTTTACGTTACTCAACAGGTCTTGGCAGCGATGAAGAAACTTTAAACCGAATCAAAGCCAAAACGACCCGGCATTTCAAACATCATTAACTTTGGCTTT